CCACCTTGTGCCTGCTCTTGGGGTCCACCGCGTCCTCCTCGCGGTGCGGCATCTGGTCACTCTTCAGGTACACACCTGGTCAGCGTTTGGGGGGGTGGGGGCGGAGGGACGAAGGTGAGATGAACCTCGGTGCCAGGTGAGTGATGTTGTATGAGGTGAGCGTTTGCCGGATATTCCAAAGGCTGGCCCACAGCCAGAAGCTCACTGCGGGTTGCTAGCCATACGCTGCATAAGCAGACACGGACGCAAGGCGTCAATCACAGTAACGCGGCCTCTCGACGCTCCACACGCAGCCTGGACGTCCGCCGCTCCGTTCCCAACAGTGCCGTCCCTTGCCGCCCGCACCCTGCTCTTCACGCATGTGCAGCAGTGTCGCCGGGACCCCACGCCACCCCGAGCCCACCCCTCCCGCCGGCCCCAAGCGCCCCCCCATTGCCCACCGGCACTGCTGCAGTAGATGTACTGCTCCAGGGAGGGCTTGAGGGCCTTGATCAGCGGCTCAGACTCGGCAGCCTCGCGCCCGTTGATGTCGTACACCACCTGGCGGCGCGAGTGTTGGGTTGGCGCAAGGGCAGATAGCGGGTTGGTTGACCAGGCTTGACCAGGTCTGACAAACTAGCCGGCTCAGCATGCTTGCTTTAAGGCTGGGCTGGTCGTCCGCTCCGGGGCTCAAGCCGCGGCCGGCCGGCAAAGCTTCCCGGCCCCTGCACAGCGGTCCCCAGCCCCGCGCACGTACCCACATCCCACCTCCGCGCATACCGCACCCACATTCTACTCGCACTGCACCTGCACTCAATCCCAGCGCTTGCCGGGCAGCACACCATGGCCATGCAGGTTCCTGGGAGCCCCCCCCCTGAAAGCACACACAACCGTCACAAACACACACACACGTGCGCACACGCACAAGCGCACACGCGCGCACACACACACACACACACACACACACACACACGTACGCACACACACACGCACACGTGCGCGTGCGCGGACACACACACCTGGAAGCCCCGGCCCTTGAGCTTGGCCTCCACGTCAGCAAAGTCCTGCCTGTCACCCGCGATGTGCTTCACAGACTTGGCAAACTGGTCGTAGCCGGCGGCGGTGTCGTCGGCAATCTTGTAGGTGATGGCCTTCTTGCCGCGAGTGTAGAGGGTCACCTCGTGACCCTGGCGGCAGGGAGGAGGCCGCATGAGGGGGCCAGAGTTCTTGGGCGCAGCGCAGCTGTGATTCCCGGCTACGCCTGCAATCAGCGTGCTCAAGCGTCCCAGCCTCGACCGCCAGTCGCTGCAGTGCTGCTGCTCTTTTGGCTTTGCAGTCCGGCCCACAGAGCACACAGCAGCCCAAGAGCCCCGCCGGGTGCGGCTGACGCAGCAGCGCGGCGCTCGCGGCCGCCCGCGGCGTCCGGGAGGCTGCGGAGCGAGGCTGCCCCAACTGTCGAGCTCTGCGTCCGGCATGCAAGCTGGCCCTCACCTCCTCCACAAGCTGGCGGGCCAGGTACACACCGATGAAGCGCGTGCCACCTTTTCAGGGACCGTTGTGAGGTTGAGCAAGTGCACATGTGCGGCGCTGGTTATACGGGCCTTGCGCATCGCTGACGCAAGGGCTCTGCACCATTGGGGAAAGCCGGTGCATGGGAGCCTGGCTGCAGGGGCGAGTGATGCCGTAGGACAACGTGTCCCCTGATCATCGGCCGCTGCCATGTGCTTTGGGCACTTGCTGCACATCACGCCAGCTTGAACACACCGCTCACGCCCTGCTCCCTCGACCCTAGCCATGCTAATTTCAGGGTCCAAGAATGCTGATTGACGGCTGCTGCCTTTGCACGGCCCTCAACGCCCAGCTCACCCATCATGAGGATCTTCTTGGGTGTGGTCGCCTTGCACTGCACCGCCAGGCGCACGGAGCGGCTGCGGCGCGCCACGACAGCCTGCGCATGCATGAGCAACAGCAGTGTCCGCCCAGTGCGGGGGTGGTGAGGCAGCCGCTGGCAGCCCTTCAAAAGATCTTCCTCTCCATACCAAATTACTCTGCAAACGAGACCAGCTGGTCTGCGCTCTACACATTCGAAGCACTCCCTCCAACGTGTAGTTCTTCCATCTGGCAACCCCATTCGCCCCTGTCTGCTACGATTTCTGTTAGAGCAGCTTTTATTATCACATGTACACCCACATTGCGCTGCGCGGTGAACGGCTTGGCCCGAACAGTCTGCATCTTGCCCTGTGCTCCCGCTGTGCGTAACTGCGGGAAAATCAAAGGGATGGTGGTTTGCGAAAGGTGCTCAGTGCCGGCGTGCAGGGGTTCGTGATCAGTGCAGCGGACGGTGAGCAGTGGGTGACGTGCGCAAACACTGCAAGTGGCCTATGGCCGTGTTCACTGTGTTTGCAACACAAACTTGGGACATGGATGCTGCAGCTGTAAGAGCAGCATTCTTTGGATAGTATCAGCAGATCTGCATGGCAAAACATTCGGGCACTGCAGCCATCACACTCTGATGTCGGGCAGCAACATGGTGGTTGGTGCCACACACGGAAACGGCACCCCGCAAGGTTGCTTGGCGCTTGATCACAAGATGGCTCATGCAACTGGTTCGAAGCTGGGCCACACGTCAGGGCTTTTTGACTTGGCTGTTGTGGCCGCACAGGCGGCAGGTCCAGCGCACACCCATTGGGGGTTGCAATTACTCAGCTTTACCGAGCAGGGATAGGAGGTGCGTGTGTAAATAGATGTTGTCATGCCAAAACACCATCATGAATCAGGACTACACATTTCAAGGTGCCCGGGGCATGTTCTGTGTCCAGCATAGGGGCTGCATCCTTGGTCTGCGGCCAGACCGCTCACAACTCCGCCACTCCTTGGCATGCATGTGCAGAATCCAGTTGTCCAAATACCCCTCATGCTTTGGCACGCAAGCACCTGGGCGGCGGGACATGGCTGCATCCTGCTGTGCAGCATTGTCACCAGGTGCAGGACATTGGTCACCCGCAGTCAGCTAGGCACGATACCGCTGCAACACTGGTCGCAATACCCTTGTGATCACTTCACCATTTTTCTGGCTGATCACTGCTCGCCAGCGAGATCTACAGCGATTCGCACGGTCCCGCAGTGCCCGAGCAGCGCGTCCAAGCAGCGCGTTGTTTCAGCGCGAAACACCTGATTATTTCTTTGCGGTGCACTTCATCCACTGTGAAGCGCCCCAAATCTACCGCTGCGCTGCAACTGTCAGTGCTCGGTGTCGTCGCATCACCCGCCCGCCATGGCTGCGGCGGCGGCCTTCTCCGCCGTCCTCACGACAGAGCACGCCCTCGACGGCGTGTCTGCGGCGTCCGGCCTCGAGATCAGCGGCGGCAGGTGCTGGGCGGCCGGCGACGACAGCGTCTTCCTGTACGAGCTGGACCTCGGCCTGGACGGCGTGCCCGACTCAACCGCCATCGCGCCGCGCGTTGTGAAGAAGCTGCGCCTGTGCGCCAGCCGCGACGTCGACGCGGCCAGTGGGGCCGTAAGGAGCGAGGAGGGGATCCCCAAGAAGCTCAAGCCGGACTTTGAGGCGATCGCGGCGCTGCCCTTTGAGGGGGAGACCCACATCGCGGTCTTCGGCTCAGCCTCAAAGGCGAGTTGTTGTCACGCGCTATGATACTTGTGCCATGCGTCGGTGTTGCGGGGCAAGGGCGGAAGCGGTACAAGAGCGCTGCGCTGCAAACCTCACCCCGCCAGCTCCACACCCCTATTTCGACCTGCGTTGCACAAGCGGCGGAGCTTCTGTCCGCCCATGCTATGGCCGACGTCCCGACTGCTGCCGCCATCGACACGCGCCGCTTGTTCGCCTGCACCCCCTCCGTCTCATCCCAAATCAACACGCCCACGAACACAGGCCGGCCTGCGAGACGCCATTGTGCTGCTCAACCCCGACACTGGCGCCTCTCGCGCCTTCGACGGCGCCGCGCTCTTCTCCGCCCTCCGCGCCGAACCCCGGGTCACCGGGACAGCCAAGCTCAACCTCGAAGCCGCCGCGGTGGTCGGCGGCGGCAGCCACCTCGCCCTCTTCCAGCGCGGCAACATCCCCGGCGGCCACAACGCGGTGGCGCTCTACGCGCTCGCGGACTTCGAGGCCTTCCTCCGAGGGCAAGGCAGCGGCGACGCCGCGGCCGACGGCGCAGCAGGCGTAGTAGTGACGCGGCCGCCACTGCGGTATGCGGTCGTGCACCTGCTGCTGCCGCCGATCGCGGAGCGTGGTGGGGGCGGCAACGCTTACTTGGCCGGCGTGTCGGGGGCGTCCACGGTGACCGTCCCCCTCCCGCGGCGCGACGGCCGCGCCAGTGCCTCTGCTGATGCTGGCCATGCTGCAGCTGCTGCTGCTGCGCCTGAGGGTGGCGATGGTGTTGATGCTGACGAAGACGGCGCGGGCGAGGAGTTCCTGCTGCTGAGCGCGAGCTACGAGGCGACCCTCAACGAAATCGACGACGGCCCCGTCCTGGGCAGCCGCGTCGCGCTGCTGCCCTCGTCACGCCTGCTGGCCCTCACCGACAACGGTGACGTAACCGATGACGTCATCGATGGCGCCGCCCCTGTGCCTTCCGTCGACCTGTCAGATCTCTCAGCACTAATCTTGCCGCCAGGCCGTGGCGATGGGGGGAATCCTGAGCCCGTGTTGGCCAAGGTGGAGGGCATTGCGGCAGTGGCGTGCAGCTGCAGCCGCGGGGCCGCGGGGGAGGGGGTCGTGCGGGTCGCGGCGCTGGCGGTGACGGACCCGGACGGGGAGGCGTCCGCGGTGCTGCAGGTGGCGGTGGCGGCGCCGGCCGGGCTGCTGCGGGGCGCGCTCGCGGCGGCGTGACAGTCTCAACTGAATTGGTTTCAGCCCTGTAGCTGACGGGCTGGTTTGGCCTCGTGGCATCGCCTCAGTCAAGCAATGTGGACTTCTGATACTCTTCTCCTCAGATTAAATGCCCACACAATTTCTATGCATGTCCTTACAACATGACACCAAAATCTCAATTCATGCTGCACAAGCAGCCACAAGCACACCGCAACATACAAAACTCTGTTACCATCCTGCCAGTTCGGCGCGTACAGGTGCCTCAACCCCAAAAGAAAGCCCTGTTAGTGTGCAGCGTTGGCAACAACCCATCTTGTGGGCGGCGCTCGCCAATCAAGCCGGTGCGGAAGACCTGAGCAACAGCCGTGAACACAGGACACAAAATCAGTCCTTTTCAGCGTGAACGTAGTCCTGCGGAGAGGGGGAGGGGGGGAGTGCAGCGCAGGTGATGCTGAGGGCGGGGCCGGGTGGCGCGCAGGCGGCACGGCTGCCTGTGGGGTGCCGGCCTCGCCCCCCTCCAGCACGAGGGACGGACTGCGCAGAGTCATGCCAGCCTCGTAATGCGCCTGGGACATCTGAGGACCTCGGAGCCAGCGGCCGCATCCCGTCCCCACCCGGGCCTACCCCTACACATACCATCACCTACCCTGGGGCTTTCCCTGGATGCGACTCTCACCCCCCTCCCCTCAAAATGTCAAGATAGCTGATGGCACACACCTGGAAAATGAACAGCTCCCTGAACTTTGACAGCTTGTGGTGGGCAAACGCCGCCAGCGCTGCCGCCACGACGCCGCCCGCCACGCGCAGGCTCGCGAGCGGCGCGGCGCCCGTGGCCAGCGCGATGCCGGAGAGCAGCAGCAGCGCGGCCGAGGCGGCGGCGAGGGCGGGGAGCACGGCGTTGATGCGGGCGAGGGCCCGGGAGCAGTCGGGGCAGTGCTGCGCGGGGTTGATTAGGGGTTATGGTTTGAGCGGCAGGTGGGATGCTGGCTCATCGACGGAGGACCGCACTGCCGCCGTGTGGCGCGGCTGAAACCAGGAAAGCGCAACCGCGGCCGCCGCCGCGCAGTTACGAAGGCAACCAAGCCGCTGTGCAAGGCACCATCGGAGAAACCGGCGCGCGGTCCGCAGCTGCCCTCTGCGCAGGCACGGCCGGCGGCAAACTGCAAGCGCCCTTCGACAGATTGCAAGCGCCCACCTGGCAGGCAAGCGTATCGCCCGGCGTGCGTGGCACCTGGCATGGTGCCTGTGCGGCCCCCAGGTTGCTGGGTCAGCAACACAGCCGTGCCAGCCCGCCTCACCTGTGTGTGTTGGTGGTATCTGTCCAGCACCTGCTGCCGCGTCATCTCTGGCGGGAGGTCCGACACGGTGCGCGGCCGAAGGGGGAACTCGCGGCCAAACCTGGGTGCGAGGGGAGACAGGAGATATGAGGCGGGGAGGAATCAGGGGGGATGAAGGGCGAGGCGCGGG